AGAATGTGAAATGTCTGAATAATAGTAGAGAGAGATTTATTTCAGCTTTTATTTCTTTCATCACATTCCCAGTGGGTCAGAAGTTTACATACACTCAATTAGTATTTGGTAGCATTGCCTTTAAATTGTTTAACTTTGGTCAAACGTTTCGGGTAGCCTTCCACAAGCTTCCCACAATAAGTTGGCGAATATTGGCCCATTCCTCCTGACAGAGCTGGTGTAACTGAGTCAGGATTGTAGGCCTCCTTGCTCATACACGCTTTTTCAGTTCTGCCCACAAATGTTCTATAGGATTGAGGTCAGAGCTTTGTGATGGCCACTCCAATACCTTGACATTGTTGTCCTTAAGCCATTTTGCCACAACTTTGGAAGTATGCTTGGGGTCATTGTCCATTTGGAAGACCCATTTGTGACCAAGCTTTAACTTCCTGTCTGATGTCTTGAGATGTTGCCATCCATTTTGTGAAGTGCACCAGTCCCTCCTGCAGCAAAGCACCCCCACAGCATGATGCTGCCACCCCCGTGCTTCACGGTTGTGATGGTGTTCTTCGCCTTGCTAGCAACCCCCTTTTTCCTCCAAACATAACGATGGTCATTATGGCCAAACAGTTCTATTTTTGTTTCATCAGACCAGAGGACATTTCTCCAGAAAGTACGATCTTTGTCCCCATGTGCAGTTGCAAACTGTAGTCTGGCTTTTTTATGGCGGTTTTGGAGCAGTGGCTTCTTCCTTGCTGAGCTCCCTTTCAGGTTATGTCGATAAAGGACTCGTTTTACTGTGGATATAGATACTTTTGTACCCGTTTCCTCCAGCATCTTCACAAGGTCCTTTGCTGTTGTTCTGGGATTTATTTGCACTTTTCGCACCAAAGTACGTTCATCTCTAGGAGACAGAACGTGTCAGAACGTTTAGAAATTGCTCCCAAGGATGAACCAGACTTGTGGAGGTCTACAAAAATAAAATCTGAGGTCTTGGCTGATTTCTTTTGATTGTTTCATGATGTCAAGCAAAGAGGCACTGAGTTTGAAGGTAGGCCTTGAAATACATCCAAAGGTACACCTCCAATTGACTCAAATGATGTCAATTAGCCTATCAGAAGCTTCTAAAGCCATGACATCATTTTCTGGAATTTTCCAAGCTGTATAAAGGCACAGTCAACTTAGTGTATGTACATTTCTGACCCACTGGAATTGTGATACAGTGAATTATAAGTTAAATAATCTGTCTGGAAACAATTGTTGGAAAATTACTTGTGTCATGCACAAAGTAGATGTCCTAACCAACTTGCCAAAACTATAGTTTGTTAACAAGACATTTGTGGAGTGGTTGAAAAACGAGTTTTAATGACTCCAATCTAAGTGTATGTAAACCTCCGACTTCAACTGTATATGGGCCAATAAATATTATTCTGTAGTTCATTTGAATAAAGCTTGTCTCCAAAATATGTTATGTTTACAGTGCCTTCAGAAAGTATTCACACCGCTTGACTTTTTCCACATTGTGTTGTGTTACAGCCTGAATTTCAATTGAGATTTCGTGTCACTGGCCTACACACAATACCCCATAATGTAAAAGTGTTTTTTTGAGATTTTTACAAATTAATAAAAAATGAAAAGCTGAAATGTCTTGAGTCAATAAGTATTCAACCCCTTTGTTATGGCAAGCCTAAATACGTTCAGGAGTACAAATTTGCTTAACAAGTCACATAATAAGTTGCATGGACTCACTCTGTGTGCAATAATTGTGTTTAACATGATTTTTTAACGACTACCTCATCTCTGTAACCCACACATCAAGCAGTGAATTTCAAACACAGATTCAACCACAAAGACCAGGGAGGTTTTCCAATGCCTCGCAAATAAGGGCACCTAAAAAATAAAAAAGCAGACATTGAAAATCCCTTTGAGCATGGTGAAGTTATTAATTACACTTTGGATGGTGTATCAATACACCCAGTCACTACAAAGATACAGGCGTCCTTCCTAACTCAGCTGTTGGAGAGGGAGTAAACCGCTCAGGGATTTCAATGGTGACTTTAAAACAGTTACATAGTTTAATGGCTGTGATAGGAGAAAATTAAAGATGGAGCAAAAACATTGTAGTTACTCCACAATAGTAACCTAAATGACAGAGTGAAAAGAAGGAAGCCTGTACAGAATATTATTCCAAAACATGCATCCTGTTTGCAATAAGGCACTAGAGTAAAACTGCAAAAAATGTGGCAAAGTAATTAACTTTATGTTGTGAATACAAAGCATTATGTTTGGGGCAAATCCAACACAACACATCACTGAGTAGCACTCTTCATATTTCCAAGCATGGTGGTGGCTGCATTTGCAAAAATGTCTGAAAACATGTTTTCACTTTGTCATTATGGGGTATTGTGTGTAGATGGGTAAAAAAAAAAGAAGGATTTAATCCATTTTGAATTCAGGCTGTAACACAACAAAATGTGGAATAAGTCAAGGGGTATGAATACTTTCTGAAGGCACTGTATGTTTTAAAACTGTCTCAAAGTAGCAACAGGGGGTGCTAAAGTAACTAAGGGCTCTACTCAATCCGCATCGCAGAAGTTGAACTTTACAGCGTGATTGAAATTTAAAGGCAATGTTCCCACTTTAGCAGAGACTGCATTCACGGTAAACACTGCATATAACGGCTCAAATCGGAAATTACCTTTACATTTCTATTGCGAAATACGTAGTGCTTCAGCGTTACAGATTGAATAGAGCCCTACATTTTGGGGAAGGAACATGTGGGACATATAACCCCAGTGCTTCCACAGTGTGTACTCATGCTCTAAACTGTGACATCGGAGGCACACTTCCAATCACATCAAGGCCCTGGAGAGCATCTGATTTCAATACATTACAGTGATTTAGGCCGGATGACAATGCACTTTATGTGAGGACTTGATGTGATAGGTAGAGGAAGACATTTCCAGTAGGTTAATTTCCTCTGTCCTTGGTCACACCGTTGATATATATATTTTTGAACTGATAACATCAAATTGCCCTCCAGCCTCATTTGTTTTTACCTCATAACTTAGTTAGTGCTTTGATACAGATGCTAGTTATTATGTGGTTCTCTGTAGCTCAGCTGGTAGAGCACGGCGCTTGTAACGCCAGGGTAGTGGGTTCGATCCCCTGGACCACCCATATGTACAAATGTATGCACACATGACTGTAAGTCGCTTTGGATAAAAGCGTCTGCTAAATGGCATATTATATTATTATATTATCACAGTAACAATATACAAGACAAGTAGAGCAATTATTTGAACCAGTCTAAAACCATGAAATAATGCGTTACAAATTATGTGAACTATTTGTATCATGAAGGTGGAGTGATCACTTGAGCAAAACGTATATTATTCAGTCCATTTCAGGGAGTTGTAATTGTTCATCGGGTTTATCTGTATTGTGCATACTGATGTAGTGCTGTTAAGACTACATCCAGTACCAGTCAAAAGTTTGGACACACCTACTCATTCAAGGGTTTTCTTTATTTTTACTATTTTCTACATTGTAGAATAATAGTGAAGATATCAAAACTATGAAATAACACATATGGAATCATGTAGTAACCAAAAAAGTGTTAAACAAATCAAAATATATATGTTATATTTGAGATTCTTCAAATGCCTTGATGACAGCTTTGCACACTCTTGGCATTCTCTCAACCAGCTTCACCTGGAATGCTTTTACAACAGTCTTGAATGAGTTCCCACATATGCTGAGCACTTGTTGGCTGCTTTTCCTTCACTCTGCCGTCCGACTCTACCCAAACCATCTCAATTGGGTTGAGGTCGGGGGATTGTGGAGGCCATGTCAGATGATGCAGCGCTAAATCACTCTCCTTCTTGGTAAAATAGCCCTTACACAGCACCCTCACACCATAACACCTCCTCCTCCATGCTTTACGGTGGGAAATACACATGCAGAAATCATCCGTTCACCCACACCGCGTCTCACAAAGACACGGCGGTTGGAACCAAAAATCTCCAATTTGGACTACAGACCAAAGGACAAATTTCCACCGGTCTAATGTCCATTGCTCATGTTTCTTGGCCCAAGCAAGTCTCTTCTTTTTTTTGGTGTCCTTTAGTAGGGTTTCTTTGCAGCAAGTCGACCATGAAGGCCTGATTCACATAGTCTCCTCTGAACAGTTGATGTTGAGATGTGTCTGTTACTTGAACTCTGTGAAGCATTTATTTGGGCTGCAATTTCTGAGGCTGGTAACTCTAAAAAACATATCCTCTGCAGCAGAGGTAACTCTGGGTCTTCCATTCCTATGGTGGTCCTCATGAGAGCCAGTTTCATCATAGCGCTTGATGTTTTTTGCGACTCCACCTGAAGAAACTTTCAAAGTTCTTGAAATGTTCCGTATTGACTGACCTTCATGTCTTAAAGTAATGATGGACTGTTGTTTCTCTTCGCTTATTTGAGCTGTTCTTGCCATAATATGGACTTGGTATTTTACCAAATAGGGCTATCTTCTGTATACCACCCCTACCTTGTCACAACACAACTGATTGGCTCAAACGCATTAAGAAGGAAAGAAATTCCACAAATTAACTTTTAACAAGGCACACCTGTTAATTGAAATGCATTCCAGGTGACTATCTCATGAAGCTGGTTGAGAGAATGCCAAGAATGTGCAAAGCTGTCATCAAGGCAAAGGGTGGCTATTTGAAGAATCTGAAATATAAAATATATTTTGATTTGTTTAACACTTTGTTGGTTACTACATGATTCCATATGTGTTATTTCATAGTTATGATGTCTTCACTATTATTCTACAATCTAAAAAAAATAGTAAAAATAAAGAAAAACCCTTGAATGTGTAGGTGTGTCCAAACTTTTGACTGGTAGTGTAGGCTACATGTATTAATGTTACTTTCCAACAATATGTTGATGATGACGCTTACATACACTTGACAATGCTGAATGCGACGCATGCGTTGGTGGGAGGGATTAACCACCAAGTAGGTAGGGCAAGTGGCTCAAGGACTGCACAATTTCATCTACTCCAGTTCATTTCAGTCTCTCTCTCTGCACATTACACATTCTGGACAAGAGGACCTTCAGTCTCTCTGGCAGTTGTCATAAAATAAAATAGTTTAATATATGAGACAGCAGAGCGAGTTGAAATCCAACGAGGTCGTTTTGGAGTCGAATGAGTCCATGGACCAACAGGATTTTAGCGAGATGTCTGGTTATTCTATTAACGACGTCATATACTCCGAATGTTCCGCAATGGAGCAAATCAACACTTTTATGAAAAACGTTCAGGTGTTGCTGGATGCAGCAAATTACATTGAGAACAATGAAAAGAACAACGGAAGTAAGTAATGTAGTCTATTCTGGTGATTTCAGACGCAGACTCGCCAAGGCAGACAACAATGCAATGGACCGAAATGGCGACAAAAGACGCCTAAACGAGAGGCAACCGTAATCATGAGGCAATTTGTGAATAATATTTAAACCTATTATGCCAATGCAAATTGGTTTAAATGAATGCGAGAGCATATAGCCTACAAATAACAATACATGGTCAAAAACAAACCCGTGACATCGAATTATGGTCTCACCCGCTATGGCATTTTCCATGAACGGTAGCAGTATTTAAATGGCTATTAAAGTGCGCATTTTCCAATTGGATGAGACTTGTCTATGACCATGAATTCCTTTCCTTAGAGACAGTCTAAACTAAACAGCTTAATGGTATCCATGAAGGCATGCCTGTGTGCGTAAAATAGACTGTCTTCCTTTGAGCACGCCGAATTACTTATTAAAATATTTAGGCTACATAATTGGCTAGTCAATTTATCAAATTCTCACTCACCTTATTTTTTAAACCTAGCCTACTCAACATTTCGCATAGGGTTTCCTTAAACTTTTGTCTGTGGATGCCTGCAGGCCGAAGAAAAGCAAATCATTCCTAGGCGGCCTGTTTATCTCAGACCAAAGCCAACTGGCAAATCAACCCTTAACAAATGTTAATTTTGTTTGAGAGAACTCTGCATATTGTGCAGAAGCTGAATAGAGAAACCCTATAATTCCAGCCCAATAATGTATTTATTCCTGTCAGTTGCGCTTCCTCTCTAGCCACATGGAGCAAAATGTACCGTTTTGATTGGACTTAACACATGTTCCCATCTAGCGAGTCATTGCAGATATCCAATCAAACACAGGTTTAACTTTGACGTCGCATTCCGATTTGAAAAGTGTCTCTGGGATTTGTAGGCTTATGGACACTTTAGTCTTCAAAATGCATTTTAATGCATACTGTAATAGCCTACGATGTGATATTACATCATTACTTAATTAATGAATAGGCCTATGTCTTGAAGAAAGAGTTCGTTGGTATTTTTCAATAAACCATGTACAAAATATAGATTTATGAAAAATGTATGCACTCACTAACTGTAAGTCGCTATGGATAAGAGCCTCTGCTAAATGACTAAAATGTAAATGTTTAGGCCTACGTGCTTTGTAGCACGAACACTAGGTTGCTGCCAGTGATGTATATAAACCCTGGATTGCTGACAATGCTATGTATTGGCAATGGAGTCTTTGAAGCCACAAGTCGGCCATATTGGAACTCTCCAGTAGGAGCAGGCCTCCATAGGAATTAATGGAATTCTACAGTATTTCATTTAAACGTTTCAAGGACAAAATTACATGTATTTAAGTATTCTTTGTTGTTGTAGTGGGGACAGTAACATTAGTTATCTCAAATAATTATACTTTATGTTTAGCTCACATAAGATAATTTAGAAGTATGATTAAAGGTGTCTGTAGTATAATAAATGTGTCAAAAACGAATGTAGACATTAATAAATGCATTTCTATAGCTTCCAAAATATGTTTAGGCTATGCTGACATGCCTGGGACCCAAACTGATGACGTTTGATGAGTGGAGATGAACAGATTCAGTTCACTCAGTTGTCCTGATGAGCCCTCCCATCAAGCTAGTTTATGCTTGTGGCTAGGAACTTCAGCTAGAATGTTTAACTTGTCTGCCAAAGTTAGGACAGTGTTCAGAATCATTCCGTTTTTACCAGAGTGATTATTATTATTATTATACAGAAATGTTAGATGTTAATGCCATAACTTTGTACATTTTCAGTGAAAATCATTACAATAAATCTTCTTTAGTTGTCACCTTGGCCTGATATTGGCTGCACTATCTAGCCGCTTCCCTCTCATTACTGCGGCAAGCGGGAGCAAAGGACCCTGTGTCCCGTGTTGTCTTGCCGGCTTTCAGCGCAAACTCTCCCCTGCATCACAGTGACATCCAGATGGTAACAACCAATATTACAAATAATTTCTCGTGTAGGCTGCTATTCTACTCGAAATAAAATCAAGTGGAATGGAACAAATTAGAGATAGTGACCAAATCCAGATTACCAAGTTCAACTAGCTCCATGTTGCTATTGCCAGCTAGCCAGTATAAACTAGCTGGGCCTGGGAAGGGCCATCAGAACGACTGCCTGAACCAAATCCATTCGTCTCCACACTCGACTCTCAGCTGCGTGACATACAATACGTCATCAATTTGGGCACCAGGCGTGTAGCCTCTCCCCAATGGTGGGGGAGTGCCAAGATGGAGGAACAGTGGCTTCAAGACAGCGCCCCCTTTTAGTTATCTAGTGTGTATATACAGTTGCTTGCGAAAGTATTCACCCCACTTGGCATTTTTCCTATTTTGTTGCCTTACAACCTGGAACTAAAAGGGATTTTTTGGGGGGTTTGTATCATTTGATTTACACAACATGCATACCACCTTGAAGATGCTAAATATGTTTTATTGTGAAACAAACAAGAAATAAGACAGAAAAACAGAACTTGAGCGTGCATAACTATTCACCCCCCCAAAGTCATTACTTTGTAGAGCCACCTTTTGCAGCAATTACAGCTGCAAGTCTCTTGGGGTATGTCTCTATAAGCTTGGCACATCTAGCCACTGGGATTTTTGCCCATTCTTCAAGGCAAAACTGCTCCAGCTCCTTCAAGTTGGATGGGTTCCACTGGTGTACAGCAATCTTTAAGTCATACCACAGATTCTCAATTGGATTGAGGTTTGGGCTTTGACTAGGCATTCCAAGACATTTAAATGTTTCCCCTTAAACCACTCAAGTGTTGCTTTAGCAGTATGCTTAGGGTCATTGTCCTGCTGGAAGGTGAACCTCCGTACCAGTCTCAAATCTCTGGAAGACTGAAACAGGTTTCCTTCAAGAATTTCCCTGTATTTAGCGCTATCCATCATTCCTTCAAGTCTGATAATTTTTTTATAACCCAACCCTGATCTGTACTTCTCCACAAATTTGTCCGTGACCTGTTTGGAGAGCTCCTTTGTCTTCATGGTGCCGCTTGCTTGGTGGTGCCCCTTGCTTAGTGGTGTTGCAGACTCTGGGGCCTTTCAGAACAGGTGTATATATACTGAGATCATGTGACACTTAGATTGCACACAGGTGGACTTTATTTAACTAATTATGTGACTTCTGAAGGTAATTGGTTGTACCAGATCTTATTTAGGGGCTTCATAGCAAAGGGGGTGAATACATATGCACGCACCACTTTTCCGTTATTTATTTTGTATACTTTTTTGAAACAAGTTATTTCTTTCACTTCACCAATTTGGACTATTTTGTGTATGTCCATTACATGAAATCCAAATAAAAATCAATTTAATTACAGGTTGTAATGCAACAAAATAGGAAAAACGCCAAGGGGGATGAATACTTTTGCAAGGCACTGTATAAATCATTGGTTGCTACCCAAACAAAATAACCTTGATGGAATCTATCCCAAAATGCATTGCGGGTGGCTTTAAAAACTCTTCTCATGTCAGCTGTTGAGAAGGTAAACGACAGTGTTGGGTCAAGCTATAGGCATATATATATATATATATATATATATATATATATATATATATATATATATATATATATATTACAATAATCAACAGTATATGACTACAGTTTGCCAACATAAAAAAATTATTGAAAGCTGCAGCATATCTAGAGAGGAGGGAGTGGGGTATGTGACATGTTGTCTATGCATTCCCTGTTGTCTTGGGACTTTAAGCTATAGCTTGATGTCACAAATGTTACAGAACAAAACACTACCGTGAAAGTAAGTAATATCAAAAAGTATTTGTCTGACAGAAATGACAGAATTTATAATGTGTTACATAAATACACTGAGTATACCAAACATTAGGTACACCTTCCTAATATTGAGTTGACCCCACCTCCCACCCCCCAGCCCTCAGAACAGCCTCAATTCGTCAGGGCATGGACTCTACAAGGTGTCGAAAGTGTTCCACAGGGATGCTGGCCCATGTTGACTCCAATGCTTTCCACAGTTGTGTCGAGTTGGCTGGATGTCCTTTGGGTGGTGGACTATTCTTAATACACACGGGAAACTGTTGAGCGTGAAAAACCCAGCAGCGTTTCAGTTCTAGACACAAACCGGTGTGCCTGGCACCTACTACCATACCCCGTTCAAAGGCACATCAATCTTTTGTCTTGCCCATTCAACCTCTGAATTGCACACATACACAGTCCATGTCGCAGTTGTCTCAAGGCTTAAAAATCCTTCTTTAACCTGTCTCCTCCCCTTCATCTACACTGACTAAAGTGGGTTTAACAAGTGACATCCATAATGGGTCATGGAAAGAGCAGGTGTTCTTAATGTTTTGTATACTTAGTGTATATTTCATCACCAGAATGTGAACATGGATATGCCTCAACATACCCTGCAACTCAGAGCACGCATCATCAGAGACAACGGAAATTCAAGAATAAGAAAATCGACAATATTCACAACAGGTAAATTAATCTTGTCATAATTATTTATAACTGTTATTACAAATACCCATGTTGTTACAGTTACATGATAACATTTATTTTATCCCTTCATTATTGGAATTGGCTCCAACATCAGTCAAATGTGGAAGAAAACCAGTGCAACTAGACAGAAACTATCAAACCAGTTTTTTTTTGTCTCTCTTGCTAACATATCTTGTCTTTTGATTTATGTCTATAACCTGTCCATTTTGTTTTACATCCAGGTCCGCACATAATGAGCTGGAAAAAAACAGGTGAGTCAGAAGGGGTTGTGACTGTCATTCTGTGTTAGAGGCCATTGCGAGTATTTCCATTGACAGTTAATGGTTATTATTGATCAATTGAAGATCTCTGTAAGTACTGAATTTGCATTAATGTACCATTTTCTTCTCTACTCCGTTCCCCAACCAACTGTGATTTGCTCACGCAACTGTGTACCATGGGGTAAAACACTTGAGTTACAAGAAAAGGAATTAGTCAAAGAGATATAAGCCTAATATATCTTATGGTGCATAATGTGTCCTGGTGCATATTAAACATCATATCCACAAAATCATTCAACTGTGTAGACCGATACATGGTTTGATGTAAGTAATGTGGCAAATAGCTATTTCTAGGGACTTTATCTCTAGAGCAAGCTGTCTTTTCAAAATGGAACTTCAAGCTGAAAATCCAAAATACTCTGGAGGCTGCTTTTATTTTGCATATCCTGGTGCTATGCTAAATATATTGACCCACAATTTTTAATTGTAATACTGGCTTATTTATTATTTATTATTTCACGGCTGGACTTCAAACAACACTTATTTTATCAACACCTTCACAATTTCAAGCTTGTTTGTACAGTGCTGGTCATTAGCATGCTAGCATCCTGGTGGTAGCATAATGCATTGAATAAAGATGTCTGTTTTGCAAGACAAATTAGGGCGTGTAGTCCAGTACAGGTTTTTGGAAGACAACCATAGGTTTCCACAGTTGGAACTGGAACTGGAACTGCTTGTTTTAGACAGTGTGCCTCCCTCCACGTAAACTAAGCATTTCTGTGCATTGAAAATCAGCTTATCGCACAGGACCTGATCTTTGTTTCCAATGAGAAGCACGTCAGGGCACGGTTCCCAAAATACAGTGACAAGTGCTAATCTGTAGAGAGCAGCCAGTGTGGGAATCATTGTAGATCACAGAAGAGCGAAGGGCCAGGCATCTGGATGATAAAAACGTGATCTCAAATGGACTCTTTGAACTACAAAGGGTTGGTCATCATTAGCGAGACAGGAGTTGACATCCCCACTTTACCTACATTTCAATACATTTGATCGTAAGGACAATGCCCTTCCAAATCGAGACACTAGGATGTTCAGTTCTTATGTTGAAAAGACCTGGCCTTAAAACGAGATTGTCTGTCTGTCTGTCTGCCTGTCAGTTCATAGCTCTGGGCACAGACTATGTATTCCATCTAAGTAATGGATTAGCCTGTCTATCCAACAACATGGGAAAAAAATATAAAGGGTCTGCTTTTGTAGTTAATGTCATTACTAATAACCAGCTCAATGTCTAATTTGTCCAAAAATATTAATTTATTCATCTATGGATGTGGAGGGGATGGGAATAGGGCCTCATCAAGGAATTTATTTATGTAGAAAATCAATCATGTCACTCAACTCTAGGAATTGCATCTGGATGTAGAGAGACTGTTCCTATTATTGGTTTCACTAAAGATTAGTCCTCTATTGTTTCTTCCCCCTCTCAGACGAGCACATCTCCGCCTGTGTTTGGAGAGGTTAAAGATGTTGATCCCACTGGGACCAGACTGCAGTCGGCACACTACCCTGGGGTTGCTTAACAAGGCCAAGGGTCACATTAAGGTATGGTAGTCAACAATGCCACAATGGTGGTGTCATGGGGACCATGGTGTCATGGGATCTGGTGAATGGTTAAATTGAAGCCCCTAGCCTATGGATAGAGAAGCTGTGTGCTCCCATGACTTGCCATAGCACTGCAGCACACAAACACAATGTGATCTACTTTCTCAGCCTGCAAATCACTTGCTACTCCTGACTACACACTTCTGGGCCTGACTCAAGCAAATCCAACGAAAATGGGGATATACCTTTAATGGGTCTAACTGATTGATCAAACATGATTGGTTAGAAAGGTTTTCCCCCTATTTTATCTAGTTGTAGTCTGGACAGGGCCAGCTCCAGCGAGAGAAAAATGTACGTTTTAAAGTTAATCACCTGCAATTGTACACATTTTGCAATGGGGCAGTGTGAAAACTTTGCAATTTTATACAAAATGACATGCAATTCTAGTCATTTTACTATGGGACATTTTTGCAGTTTTACAGCAATTCTAAATATTCTGTAATGACTTATGCCATATGATATATGATATGCCATATGATATTTGAGTGAGAATTACTAACAAAATCAATGGGGGCCCCCTGGAGGTCAGGGCTCCTGGGCACGTGCCCTGCATGCCCGGTCGGTATTCGGCCATGATAGATAGCTGGCTAGACTAACTACCAATCTAAAAGTTGTTAGCTGACATGCCTAATTGAGTGACTGTCAGTGACTGACATAGCCTACTGTAACAAGAGAAAAACTGCTGATGTACAACCAAATTTCAAAATTGCACCTGGTGTATTTTACTATTCTTACTCTCAATAGTAATTTCAGACCCCAACAGAGTTCCTAAATATATATATATATACAGTGCATTTGGAAAGTATTCAGACCCCTTGCCTTGTTCCACAATTTTTTACATTACAGCTTTATTCTAAAATTAATTAAATAAATAAAAATCCTCATCAATCTACACACAATACCCCATAATGACAAAGCGAAAACAGGTTTTTAGACATTTGAGCAAAAACAGAAATACCTTATTTACATAACTATTCAGACCATTTGCTATGAGACTCGAAATTGAGCTCAGGTGCATCCTGTTTCCATTGATCATCCTTGAGATTTGTTTCTACAACTTGATTGGAGTCCACCTGTGGTAAATTCAATTGATTGGACATGATTTGGAAAGGCACACCTGTCTATATAAAGGTCCCACAGTTGACAGTGCATGTCAGAGCAAAAACCAAGTAATGAGGTCAAAGGAATTGTCCATAGAGCTCCGAGACAGGATTGTGTCGAGGCACAGGTCTGGGGAAGGGTACCAAAATATTCTGCAGCATTGAAGGTCCCCAAGAACACAGTGGCCTCTATCACTCCTAAATGGAAGAAGTTTGGAACCACCAAGACTCTTCGTAGAGCTGGCCTCCTGGCCAAACTGAGTAATTGGGGGAGAAGGGCCCTGGTCAGGGAGGTGACCAAGAACCTGATGGTCACTCTGACAGAGCTCCAGAGTTCCTCTGTGGAGATGGGAGAACCTTCCATAAGGACAACCATCTATGCAGCACTCCACTAATCAGGCCTTAATGGTAGAGTGGCCAGACGGAAGCCACTCCTCAGTAAAAGGCACATGACAGCCCGCTTGGAGTTTGCCAAAAGGCACCTAAAGACTTTTAGACCATGAATAACAAGATTCTCTGGTCTGATGAAACCAAGATTGAACTCTTTCGCCTGAATGCCAAGTGTCATGTCTGGAGGAAACCTGGCACCATCCCTACGGTGAAGCATGGTGGTGGCAGCATCATGCTGTGAGGATATTTTTCAGCAGCAGGGACTGGGAGACTAGCCAGGATCGAGGGAAATATGAACAGAGCAAAGTACAGAGAGATCCTTGATGAAAACTTGCTCCAGAGCGCTCAGGACCTCAGACTGGGGCGAAGGTTCACCTTCCAACAGGACAACGACCCTAAGCACACACACAGCCAAGACAACGCAGGAGTGGCTTCGGGACAAGTCTCTGAATGTCCTTGAGTGGCCAGCCAGAGCCCGGACTTGAACCCGATCGAACATCTCTGGAGAGACCTGAAAATAGCTGTACAGTGACGCTCCCCATCCAACCTGACAGAGCTTGAGACGATCTGCAGAGAAGAATGGGAGAAACCCCAAATACAGGTGTGCCAAGCTTGTAGTGTCATACCCAAGAAGACTCGAGGCTGTAATCGCAGCAAAAGGTGCTTCAACAAAGAACTGAGTAAGTGGTCTGACTACTTATGTTAACATTTTACATTTTAGTCATTTAGCAGACGCTCTTATCCTTATACCTTATTTTTTATTTTTTCATAATGTGATATTATTTCTAAAAACCTGTTTTTGCGTTGTCATTATGAGGTATTGTGAGTAGATTGATGAGTAACAAAAACTATTAATTTTAGAATAAGGCTGTAACATAACAGAATGTGTAAAAAGTCAACGGGTCTGAATACCTTCCGAATACTTATGCCTGCAACCTGCCCTGAGTCTGGAGAACCTATTTGTCTCCCTCTTGTGAACTCTGAAAAAGCCTTTCTAATTGATCTGAGAAATGTTTGGCACATTGCTGTATTTCAGAATTAAAATACAAAGTGAAAGGAAGTGTGGCTTGTATGTTCAGCCTTAACCAACACAGCTGTTTCCTTTGTTTTCCTCCAAGCAGCAAATCCAGGTCTACAATTGGCCATCATACAAAAATGTCAGGAATTACTTTGCCACTACAGCCGTTTGGATCTGTTGGTATTTTTAGCGAATGATGAATTCACATATGATTATTCAGGCTCAGAAGAACACAACACACAGTTTGTAACTCAATCTTGAATGGGCAGAATGTGTTGTTGCAAGAGTAGAGTAAAATGAAAATAAAAACATTATTCGATTTAAAATATGTTTGTAAATGGCAGCTGTTTAAGATTTCATAATTTGTCCAGGAATACAATATGTGAATGGGTGTACTGTGAGATAGAGGGCTGTGTCATTGTATATGCAGATGTCTGAGGAAATTTTATAAATAGCTGCTCTTTAGCCTACGCCATTTATATGCTATTATTATTCATAAAATACTAAGGGTTATCCACACATTAGGTTGATTAACTCTTTCTCCTCTCTGTATGTTTGTAGAAACTAGAGGACATGGACCGGAGGAGTCAGCACCAGCTGGAAAGCCTGGAGCGAGAGCAGAGGCACCTGCAGAGGCAGCTGGCCCACCTGCAGACCCCTGTAGGCGGCGAGAGGGACAGGGTCCGTATGGACAGCGTAGGTTCCCCTTTGGCCTCAGAACACTCTGACTCGGACCAAGGTGAGCCAACCATTCCACAGAGCTTAGTTAGTCCCATAGAGATAGAAGGCACAGAATAATCTGAAACATAACCAAAACAAACAGCAAATGCATCCAACACATTTGTAGTCACAAGCTTGATGTAGTCATTGTGTGCCATGAATATGGGACCAAATACTTAACTTTTTACTACTTTAATACACACAGGTGAATTTGTACCAATACTTTTGGTCCCCAATAATGGGGTTACTATGTACAAAGTGTTGTAATTTCTAAACAGCTCACCCGATATGGATGTAAATACCCTAAAATTAATGCTGACAGTCTGCACTTTAACCTCAGTCACTGGAGTACAGTGCCAAAACAAAACAGTCACTGTCCCAATACTTTTGGAGCTCACTGTATTTCGGCTGACAGTGGCAGTGTTATATTATACTAAGAGACGGTTTAGTTCAGATCCATTTCAAACCACTCAATGGAATGTACATGTGCTAGTCTCGAATGTAGCATTAGTTGTCATTCAATACATTTAGCTGATTACTAATAAGTGTGGGAGGATCATTATTAAATATTTTCCTCACTCCAATTTCTGTAGAAGAGATCGAGGTTGACGTGGAAAGCACGGAGTTCTCCCATGGAGAGTTGGACAGTATCAGCACGAGTGGCTGCAGTGACTTGGATGACCACAACAGTCGGCAGAGCCTGGCCAGCGACGAGGGCTACTCCACATGCAGTCTAAAACTGGCCTTTTCCTCCTAAGAACCATCCTGAAGCTCCTCATCCACACCTGCAGTCTAAACTGGGCTTCTAAGAACCAGTCTAAAACTCCACCTGCAGTCTATAACTGGTCCTCTACTACGAACCAGCCTGAAGTTCAACTCCTCATGCAGTCTAAATCTGGACTCACCTCCTAAGAACCAGCCTAAATCTCAAGCACCTGCAGTCAACTGGTCCTTTCTTCTGATAAACTAGTTAAACTCCTCCTGAAGTCTAAAACTGGACCTCTCATCTTAAGAATCTTAAAATCAACCACCTGCAGTCTAAACAAAGAACCAGCTAAAAGCTAAACCCCACCTACAGTTTGAAAGGACAGATCTTACCTCAACTGTAAAATCTTGACACTGATGTGGGCGACGGCACCTAGTCTGTTACCCGTCTCCTCCTAAAACCAGCACAAAAACCGCATAAAGCCAGCCAGAAGCTCACCAGTGACAAGGGCAACTTTTTCCCCCACTTTGAAAACCCCTAGCAGATGACCCTCTGGGAATAAACAATTCTTGTCAATCACCAAGCAAGTTACTAGGGCTTCTATATCTCCAATCCAAACTGTTTTTCTTATACAGTACCCACAGCATCCATAGCCCACAGTTATACCCCAAGTCTTTCACAAGCCACCAATGTTATTCCTACCTAATTTGAATATGATTGAGAAATGTATTTATTTCCCCAATATTTATCATGCTGTACTGTCTTGGTCACACTTGAATTATGAAATGAATGGAAAATATGATTTGGATGTTTGGACAACTGTAAAGTTAGGTTTTATGTAAGTCTGTTGTGGTTTTGAACTGAGCATTGACAAGTTCTCAGACAAAAGCTAGTGCAATGGTACACGACACGCTAAATGTATCACCCAGTGGTCTGATGTGAGATGATTGACATTCATCCCCGGTGAGATTTCTAAATAAATATTGTTTGTATACACTAGGCAGCTATAATGAGCTATACCGCACTTCAAGGGCCAAGCACAATTCTGAAGCAATAACTTATTGCCAGTTATGTCAACTCTTTTAAGTTGGCTGTTTTAGGCACAACATTTTGTCCATCCAACACCAAATTGAACTTGCTTGTTTTGTATGTAGCTTCATTAATTACAAATAGTAATCAATATTAAGATAATGTTTGGAACAAAAGTAATGGCGCATGTGTATTGAATGTAGCTTTCCATTTTTTCATCATGGGCTTTGGATTGACCAGTTTTGAGAGCTCATGTCTTTGTATTGATGAACACATGGCAGAATTTAATGTGAGTTTTGAATTTTTACTTAGTAACTTATGTTCCATTCCAACGTTAAAACCCTGACGCTGTATATTCTGAATATTGATCTACAAAAATCACACTTTCCCCTTATTGCACTGCAAGACTATTCCACTAACCAAATTGGAAATGTAATCTTATGACCATACCCATATTTTTGTGGGACAACTAAATAGATCATCACCACCAACTGTGTCTTAACATGGCTAAATTGACTCTTGCACAGGTTTCTTAGTTCCAAGTCTTTATTCAATGTCAGTGTTGGGTAATTTGTAAAATGCACTATGAAAAAGACTTGATCTAAGAAAGTGTCTCTTAACACCACTGCGCTAAAATCAGCCATCAAAGGTGACTTTTACAAAGAACATGTTGCTGGTCCCCTGCTACCATTGTGTGTTTCCTGGTAGTGGTCCCTTGAAACTTGATCAATAAACCTCTACCACCCCATGTACCTATACAGTGTCCAGTTGTTATTTGTTATTGGTGTGTCCAAAGCTATAAGAAATTAAATATACACTATTCATGACTGAAATCATGTATTTTCTATGCAATACATTTCCTTCTGCAGATTGTACACTTCTGCGCTAGCACCAGACAGACGCAATCTCACAATAAACATAGGCGAATACACAACTCATCCCTGATTTTAATTGAGAAAAAAATAAGCTTACATCGCCAGCAGTGACATAAGGTCATTGATGTACATCATGGAAACAAAGATGGTACAAAATACATTACTGTCATCTGGAGGAACTGTTAAACATTCAGTACCAATATGGAAACTTATTCAGAATTTCAGGGCAAAATGAGAGGAACATCTTACCTCAACAAAAATGACAATTTGTTTTACTGTAAATGTACAAAACTGAGATGCTTTAAAAATAGTCGTATTACCACTAAAGAGTAAAAAGTAAAAATGTCTATAATGTTATAGTCCAGTTCACCCTGAAAAAGCTATAATAAATGTGTAACATTGAAACATGCACATATTATAGTTTTTGCCTTTGTTGCATTCAGAAAGATACAGCAACCCAGACTAATTTCACCACAATCTAAACACTTGAGTACACTTATTTGTGCTGCTTCATTACAGGGGTAATTTATTTTATTAAGAATTCTGCTGTTCTATATGACATACCGGTAAGAACAATATTCCAATGAGCCAACCAATGGTGAGTAGCGATTAGTTTCAAAGCTCCTTTACTTGGGTAATCTAAACCATATAAACACAATGGTAAGCACTGATCCTCCTACTATACAATGGGATACTTTAACACCAAGAGAACATGTTTGGTCACTGTGGCATGAGATGCCTGACGTTATATTTGGATGTGTCGTGATATGTGGTCATGGGTTTGTCTGCAATGCCACATGTTCCTACACCCACCTTTCCGTTTACGCTCTCAGGCGATGCAAATATACTCCTCTTCACCTGCAACACACAACGGAAATCTCAGTAAGAGTATTTGTGATGGTACCTCTCCTGCAACAAAGCAATGGCTGAAAATGTGCAAAAAACATTAAATGTTACTTAGTTTAAGGCTAGAAGCGCAGAGACCGTCATTTTGACTTCACATGAATTTCAAATTGTAATAGCTTTGCCATTTTTTAAATCATCCATCCTTACATTTTCCTAACTAAGTCTATTTAACACACTGACGTTGTTAGAATTTCTATTTCACAAACAGAGTTTTCGTGTTATAAGCAGTTTGGGGAGGAAATGTAATCTCCCCCTTCACCCCCCCTTAAAATATGCTATTCTGTTCTTTTGAAATAGATTTTCTTAGGGTCATACTGTTTCTTAAGACCTACCAAAATGAAACAATGATTGATTTCTTTGTGATGGATTTAACACTGAATTGTGGTGTTTTTGGTGTGTTTTAGTTTTTACGTATAGCCTACAGTAACAAACTAATGAAAATGCTATTGTATTTTTTGAAGAACCTTTTTTTCCAGATTCTAAAATGTTACCCAAGACGTTCATAAACACAACCAAATGATTATTTTTGCAATAGCATATATGAAATGTATTTATTCGACTGTTAGAATGTTGAGGTCAAAAATGACGGGGCCCGGCTTTTCTAGTGTTAAGATGTGTGTGTAAAGTAGATGAACATGTGTTACCTGTCCTTTCTTGTTCTTGTTGTAGGCCTTGTTGTTGAAACTTTGCCACTTGGATTTCTGGTCTTCTCGCTCCTGTTCCAGCTCCTTCATCCTCAGCACCTTCTTCTGGGCCTTCTTCTTCTTGTACTCCCTTTGGTCTGCTATCTGCTCTTTCCTGTCATGGCACGCACACACAAAGTTATAATTCTTTTCGCAACAGCATCATGGAAACGTGGAAAACTCCTGACACTACACAGGACATATTTAACATAAGCGTTGACTCTCCTACCTTGACTTGGGTTTCCCGTCCTCCTCAGAATGCTTGCCCTCCTCAGCAGGTTTGAGGTTCTGCAGTGGCACCACCTCTGCGTTCCCGTAGCCGAAGAAGGTAATGGCCGCCGTTCCGTTCTCGCCGTCTATCTCCTCAATCTCAGCCTCATACACCCTGTCAAAGAATCACGGCTGTAAGCAGGTGAGTACGAGCCACAGACTCAAGCCCTACTACACAATATTGTGAAGAAATACAGTTGAGTGTTTCTGTTATTGTTCTTATTCAGGACCTAGGCTCTTCATTAAAAATATCTCACAACAGCTTTGTCATGTCTATCACTGCTTCATTGAACAAATCAATTACAACAGTGTAGGTCAAATGATAAGCCAAGACCATAGTGTGCAAGCAAGATGAACAAAGATGACCTTCCCACTTAGCAGCATTGTAAAATTGGTCATGTATCAGTTGATTATTTTACACTGAACAAAACTATAAATGCAACATGTAAAGTGTTGGTCCCATCTTTCATTTTTTGTGCCGGGAACAATAAAAGGCCACTCTAAAATGTGTAGTTTTGTCACAATGCCACAGATGTCTAAAGTTTTGAGGGAGCGTGCAATTGGCATTCTGACTGTGCAGGAATGTTGCCAGAGAATTGAATGTTCATTTCTCTACCATAAGCTGCCTCCGTCGTTTTAGAGAATTTGCCAGTACGTCCAACCGGCCTCACAACCGCAGACCACGTTAATGGCATCCTGTGGGCGAGCGGTTTGCTGATGTCAACGTTGTGAACGGAGTGCCCCATGGTGGCGGTGGGGTTATGGTATGGGCAGGCATAAGCTACAGACAACTAACACAATTTAATTTTATCAATGGCAATTTCAACGCACAGAGATGCCGTGACGGCCATTGTCGTGCCATTCATCCGCCCCCACCACCTCATGTTTCAGCATGATAATGCACTGCCCTATGTCGCTAGGACCTGTACACAATTCCTGGAAGCTGAAAATGTCCCAGTTCTTCCATGGCCTGCATATTCACCAGACACGTCACCCATTGAGCATGTTTGGGATGCTCTGGATCGACGTGTACGACAGCGTGTTCCAGTTCCCGCCAATATCCAGCAACTTCACACAGCCATTGAAGAGTGGGACAACATTCCACAGGCCACAGTCAACAGCCTGATCAATTCTATGCGAAGGAGATGTGTCACGCTGCATGAGGCAAATGGTGGTCACACCAGATATTGACCGGTTCTGATCCACGCCCCTACCTTTTTTTGAAGGCATATGGGACCAATAGATGCATATCTGTATTCCCAGTCATGTGATATCCATAGATTAGGAACTAATGAATTCATTTCAATTGACTGATTTCCTTATATGAACGGTAACTCAGTAAAATCTTTGAAATTGTTGCATGTTGCGTTTATATTTTTGTTTAGTGTTGGTTAAATATTGACTGCGGAACTTCTGGTGACACTCACTGTCCATCCTGACTCCACACAGTCATACATCTGTCCCCAACGCGCCAGCTGTGTTTCAGGGGGGCTGCATCGGAGCTGTTGGCACTAGCAGTACCTTCAGAGGGCTGCGATGTCAGGAGGTCTTTTGTCAAGTCTATGACTTCCTGTGAAGGATACATAACATTGAGGTCATTTCGTTCCTAGATAATAATCACATTTGAAGACAGAGACACTAAGAAACATACTGAAACTCATAAAAACCAAAAAATCTAATGGCTAACACTGATGGCATGTTTCTAGTTACCGATAAGTCTTTCTGTAATTTGAGAAGGTCTTCATTCTCAGGATCGGTTGATAAGGCGGCTTCCACTTGTTGTAACTGTGCTTTGTAGCTGGCCAACTGTTTCAACAAATCCTCTGACATCTGATAATTGACAATGAAAGGGTGGGATACAACAGAGTAAAATTACACTTGAAACAAAGTAAGAATAGCAAATAAACACATAGCCCAACAACTCAGCGAGGATGGCAAGGCATTGGAAAGATTTGCAAGGCGGAGCAAGGCTACTATTTAAATGTGTTATTATTTTGGTCTTTGCATAGTTTAATTCTTTTTGGTGATGTTATATACAATTCAGCTTTTAGCTGTGAATGTGTAACATGGTCGATGTTTTTTTTTTTTTTTTTTAAGAGGACCACAATTGTGTTATCCTATAAAAAAAAGTATGCATTGTATCCACATTTGTGGTTGTATTGTGTTTTTAAAGTGTCAAATAAAATCAATAAATACACTACTTTGTTAGTGTTGCTAGCTACTTACACAAAAACAACAAATACTATTGTCACTGGTTACCACAGCCACAAAGTCAAAATGGGCTATATCGTAAAGATTCATGAAAACATTTTTTTTTGCTTTTTGGTCTTAATTTTAGGGTAGGCTAGCCGTTCCTTATCTTTTATATCGATGACAAATAATTTTTAAAATACAAAAGGTTACATTTATATACACCTTTATAGGGTTCCCACATGGTCATATTTCCTAGGGTTAGGCGAACTGAATATTGGACTAAAGGAGCCTACCGTTAACTTTACTCCTTAGTCTAAGGATCTTACATGTTCTGTGAAAGTGACATTTGGCTCTGGATTCGATTCTCAATTACAGTACAGGTCTAGAAACAGAAATCACTACTTTCATATCACAAAAAAAGTATTTTCCAAATACAAAATACACATTTACTCTACACCGTTTTAACACAGTTGAAGCTGACAACGCCATTGTAGCATCTGTCTCCCGTTTACACACAGGTGTTCGGAGACGCAGATAGCCAATTAGCACACGTAGTCCACTCCGTCTTCCATCTGTTTTCATAAACAAGCGCTGTAACATGGAAATATGGCCGCGTGGGAACCCCAAACCCATAAAAGGTGTGCATCAATTTAACGTTTTATTTTCTTTCTCGCCGATATGAACGATACTCCTTATGCTTCCAAAACAGTATCGCAAGCTATGCGTGTTCATGTTCAGACCGAGCGTGGCTGCTCTTAACAAACCTCCCCCTATAGAAGACGGCTTTGTCCAATGTCAATGACTCTTGTGTGTAGTGTAATGTAATGGCACGGAGTCATGATCAAGGGATATGGTTGGGGATAAGGGTTAGATTTAAAATCAGATTTTTAGGAGAGATTGTGAGGTTTTAGCCATAATGACTTTGTTGCGGTGGTAAATTTGGACGACCAACAAATACCAATTAAGTTATCTAGCTACAAAGCTAACTAGTAGGCTTAGCTAACGTTAGCTAGTTACATTTCGGTGTTAGGGGGAGGTTAACACATGTTCAACACTCGGTTCTAAGGTAACTAGTTAGTTATCGACCTATTTATTTCCATACTCTGATAGGTATCAAATCTAGCTATCGACTTTCAAATTAATTTCAAATAGGCATCGCTAGCTAGAATGTTAGCTACCGCTAGATAGCTAACGTTATAGTAGCTAGGCCATCATCACAACCACAACACAGCGAACGCTGGCAGCAATGAACATTTTGCCACGAAAAAAAAAAACGATTTCAAAACGATTAAATGTTAATTAATAATCTTACCTTCCCGTATTTGCTTAAACTAAATAAATACTCAGGATATTCAGATTTTACTTAAATTGTTTCTAATAAATCGTAGACAACAACAAAACAGTTCCTTTCCTCCTCAGCAAATTCTACCGGAAATGTCGATTCTTGATGTAACATCTTCTTCTCGCGATACTACAGTCTCCTAAAGTGTCATATAGCGCTTTGTCAGCAGATGGGGCTTTATCCCAATAATTTCTGTCCATGGTGCTTAAATGAACAATTGGTCTTTGATTCGACTCACTAACGAATTAACTGTAAAAGGTCAACTCTGACTGTAAATCTTATTCTATAATATTCTTCTTGAATAAGAGCCATTAAGTTGTCTTCACCATGCCATGTAAATTTGAACCCCCCCGCTCCAATTAGTCTATTAAACTATAATTTACTATTTGCATCGGTTACCTTAGGCTATTTGCTGTCATTAACATTTTTATCAATATCTAATTTGGCTCATTAATAAACAGTAGACGTAGTCACAAAGTACAAAATATATATGTATATTCGGAATGACAAGATCTTTTGTCAATGTTCAGTTTGGAAAGCGGCAATAAAACTCATCTGTAGCTGCGATAGTAGTTGGACCCCGCCCATTATTCCCACTGAAATATACTGACCAGGGAGCGGAGGCTCAAAACCATATATAAAGCAGCAATCCCATCCCCTGCCACATAAAGATCTGTTTCACCAACTACTGTTTCAGTGGGCAGAGAAATATCATCCTGCGCAGATGTTATTCTGTGCACAACGTTGGGCCATTTGACGTTTTTGAAGGATAACGATTGACCACTTTTTTTCCTGAATATGTAAATGGTAAAGCTGAGTTTTTGGATGCTGGAAAACAAAGGAGTAAAACTACAGCTGTTTAAGGAGTATTTTCTCTTTTACCTGGTTATTGCTTTTGTGATGAAAGAAATGAAAGAAAAAAAAAACGAACTCACTGTAAGTCGCTCTGGATAAGAGCGTCTGCTAAATGACTAAAATGTAAAATGTGATCAACTAACTAACATTGAGATGATTTGTATGTTAGATTGTTCATATGACATTATTTTCCCCAGTGGGAAAAAATGAAGGCTACTTCATCATGGGATGCTTCATTAACAAATGTGTCATAATAGTGGATCAGTTGTGGCTCTTCGAACAAGGACTCTTCTTATATGGACACACGCTTCATCCTTATGGGTTGTGATAACTTGACCAACAGCAACGGGACTTTGCCTGCTAGGCTCCCTTACACTGTGCAGACTTCTGTGCCTCTGACAATACTGGTGGGTATCCTTATTCTACTCACAGTGTTCGGCAATGTCCTAGTGGTCATCACTGTGTTCACCAGCCGGGCCCTAAGAGCCCCTCAGAACTTGTTTTTAGTGTCCTTAGCATGTGCAGACATTCTAGTGGCCACTCTGGTGATGCCCTTTTCTCTGGCTAATGAACTGATGGGATATTGGTACTTTGGTCAAGTGTGGTGTGAGATCTACCTGGCCCTGGATGTTCTGTTCTGCACCTCATCCATCACACATCTGTGTGCCATAAGTCTGGACAGATACTGGTCGGTCACTCAAGCCATTAAGTACAACTCGAAAAGGACACCACGCAGGATCAAATGTATAGTGTTATTCGTGTGGGTGCTGGCTGCCATTATATCATTCCCACCTCTCATTTCAATGGAGAAGGAAGGGGCCAAAGAGGAGGGTCCCACATGTAAGATCAATGAGGAGAAGTGGTACATCATATTCTCCAGCACCGCCTCATTCTTCGCCCCCTGTGTGATCATGATTCTGGTGTACATTCGAATTTACCAGGTTGCCAAGAAGAGAACCAGGGCCCCTCCGGGTGAGAGGAGAAGGGAAAATGATAATCCAGATAAAAGTCAGTATGGCTTAGTTCAGCAGGACCCTTTGGAGAGAGGGAACAAAGAAAGAGGGAGAGGTGGAGTAGAGGAGGGCGAGGAGGTCAATGGACTAAATGTGGAGGAAGAGTGCTCCTCGTCTGATGGGAATGAGAACCAGTGCTCCATCAAAATGAAACGGAGCAAGGGAAATACCAAAGTGAGTCAGGTGAAACCAGGAGACCCATCTCCTAAAGGTGATGATGCACAGCAGTGTGTGAAAGTGAGCCGATGGAAAGGAAGGCAGAACAGAGAGAAGCGCTTCACCTTTGTTCTGGCTGTGGTCATGGGAGTGTTTGTTGTCTGCTGGTTCCCCTTCTTCTTCACGTACACACTCACCGCCATATGTGACTCTTGCTGTGTCCCTGAGACATTGTTCAATTTCTTCTTCTGGTTCGGATACTGCAATAGCTCACTGAATCCAGTCATATACACTATATTCAACAATGACTTCAGGAGGTCTTTCAAAAATATCCTTTGCAAAAGGGATCGACGAGGGCTATGAATAATCTTTTTTTGGACTAGCTACTGTTTCCTGTTGGGAGTCTTATGGAAAGAAAATGTACCTATTGGGAAAGACTTGTTCCACATTCAGTTCTGTCCCACTGAGCACACACTGGTTGAATCAATGTTGTTTCCATGTCATTTCAATGAAATTACGATGAACCAATTTTGAATAGATGTTAAATTGACGGTTGTGCCCAGTGGGGTGTGCTTAAAGTAAATGGAAAAACTGCAAGTAAATTGTGATCAATTTTGTAATGCATCTGTTACTGTTTTTATGTGTGTGTCAATGTACAATAGTTTTGAGTTCATTACAATCTTTAATCCCACTACATACATTTAGATGTATTTGACTTTAAAACTAATGAATGCAATGTTGTTTATTAATTAATGCATGTTGTGAGGGAGCTGGCAAATATCTCCATTGATCTTGCTTAATAAAAAGACATTTAAAAAATGATGTTTTTATTGTCAGATACAGCGGATAGGTGCAGTGAAATGTGTTGTTTTACAGGGTCAGCCATAGTAGTATGGTGCCCCTGGAGCAAAATATTTTTCACCCTGTAGGCTCAGGTATTCAAACTAGCAACATTTAACTTACTGGCCCAACACTCTAACCACTAGGCTACCTGCTGCCCATAACATAATGCTTAATGTTAATACCTAGGCTATAATTCTGTCATGCATAATATCAGGGAGCATATGCATGTATTATGAATAAACATATTTAAACATGTCTTCCCTGAATATTACAGTATTCCCTGAATATTACAGTAAGTTCTATCAGTATACATTCATTGTGGTACCAATTGAGGTTGAGGGGTATGATTGTTGTACATTAAGTAAATGTTCCAGAAAACCAATACTATATAACTCAAAACACTACCCTCTAAAAGTTTTCATTGTATTCTACCTATTGAATAAGGACAATGTTTCAACCTTCATGTTCCATATTGCACAGAGGCACAGACCCAGAGGAGCTAACAGAAAGAGATCCCTGGTTTCCCACTGGGCAAGACAGACTGAATCATCCTACTGCAGACATCCCTACCAGTATAATTTGATTTTCTCTGTCTTTATCAGTAGCGAGAGGAAACACCATGCCAATAATCCACCCACAATCAACTGATTTTATGGTGCATACTAAATACAGTATATTATTTATATGATCTTTCACTCACAGCCTGCAAATAGGCATGATGCACACAAAAGACGAAAAGGTTATCACTTTTTTCAGTAAAACATATCAGTACATTAAAGGAAAAGTTCACCCAAAAACTATATTTTGGTATTTGTTTCATTAGTCCATTGTTGACAGTCTCAAAATGTTTTGCTTGTCACCGATCAAGTTTTCAAGATACAGTGAGGGAAAACAGTATTTGATCCCCTGCTGATTTTGTACGTTTGCCCACTGACAAAGAAATAATCAGTCTATAATTTTAATGGTAGGTTTATTTGAACAGTGAGAGACAGAATAACAACAGAAAAATCCAGAAAAACGCATGTAAAAAATGTTATAAATTGATTTGCATTTTAATGAGGGAAATAAGTATTTGACACCTCTGCAAAACATGACTTAGTACTTGGTGGCAAAACCCTTGTTGGCAATCACAGAGGTCAGACGTTTATTGTAGTTGGCCACCAGGTTTGCACACATCTCAGGAGGGATTTTGTCCCACTCCTCTTTGCAAATCTTCTCCAAGTCATTAAGGTTTCGAGGCTGACGTTTGGCAACTCAAACTTTCAGCTCCCTTCACAGATTTTCTATGGGATTAAGGTCTGGAGACTGGCTAGGCCACTCCAGGACCTTAATGTGCTTCTTGAGCCACTCCTTTGTTGCCTTGGCTGTGTGTTTTGGGTCATTGTCATGCTGGAATACCCATCCACGACCCATTTTCAATGCCCTGGCTGACGGAAGGAGGTTCTAACCCAAGATTTGACGGTACATGGCCCCGTCCATCGTCCCTTTGATGCGGTGAAGTTGTCCTGTCCCATTAGCAGAAAAACACCCCCAAAGCATAATGTTTCCACCTCCATGTTTGACGGTGGGGATGGTGTTCTTGGGGTCATAGGCATCATTCCTCCTCCTCCAAACACGGCGAGTTGAGTTGATGCCAAAGAGCTCCATTTTGGTCTCATCTGACCACAACACTTTCACCCAGTTCTCCTCTGAATCATTCAGATGTTCATTGGCAAACTTCAGACCAGCATGTATATGTGCTTTCTTGAGCATGGGGACCTTGCGGGCACTGCAGGATTTCAGTCCTTCACGGCGTAGTGTGTTACCAATTGTTTTCTTGGTGACTATGGTCCCAGCTGCCTTGAGATCATTGACAAGATCCTTCCGTGTAGTTCTGGGCTGATTCTTCACCGTTCTCATCATCATTGCAACTCCACGAGGTGAGATCTTGCATGGAGCCCCAGGCCGAGGGAGATTGACAGTTATTTTGTGTTTCTTCCATTTGTGAATAATAACACCAACTGTTGTCACCTTCTCACCAAGCTGCTTTGCGATGGTCTTGTATCCTATTCCAGCCTTGTGTAGGTCTACAATCTTGTCCCTGACATCCTTGGAGAGCTCTTTGGTCTTGGCCATGGTTGAGAGTTTGGAATCTGATTGCTTAATTGCTTCTGTGGACAGGTGTCTTTTATACAGGTAACAAGCTGATATTAGGAGCACTCCCTTTAAGAGTGTGCTCCTAATCTCAGCTCGTTACCTGTATAAAAGCCACCTGGGAGCCAGAAATCTTTCTGATTGAGAGGGGGTCAAATACTTATTTCCCTCATTAAAATGCAAATCAATTTATAACATTTTTGACATGCGTGTTTCTGGATTTTTTTGTTGTTATTCTGTCTCTCACTGTTCAAATAAACCTACCATTAAAATTATAGACTGATCATTTATTTGTCAGTGGGCAAACGTACAAAATCAGCAGGGGATCAAATACTTTTTTCCCTCACTGTATATATCTTTCAAAATACAAAAATCATCCCATATGACGCATTTTGCGCATGTCAAAAATTTTATAAATTGATTTGCATTTTAATTTCTGTATTTTGAAAGTTACATATCTTCAAAACTTGATTGCTGACAAGCAAAACATTTTGGGACTATGTCAACAAAGGACTAATGAAACAAATAACCAAATATTGTTTTTGGGTGGAATTTTATTTTCCTTTAAGCGATGGGTGTTGGATTTCTGCCATCAGAGATAATTTAATTATGTTAGTGATGCACACATGAGTCACTGCAACCCCTGTTGATGATCCAATACAAAATGAACTATATTGCTCATTAATCATAATATGTATTGTCAAAGTTGAGTTAATTCAAATCTGGCATTAGGAACAAAAGAGGTCAACACGACTTCTAAGATATACTAGTTATTTTAATTAATGCAAAAACCTTTAATGGTAAATATGATGTTTCGTATATACGGGCTCTCTGAGATACCTCGCAGGGCACCCCAGAGAACTAAAACATTGTTTCAGATTCAATACTCAAATACTCTGACAGAGGGAGTTTCCCACCTCTCTGCTGACCAATTAGAGTAGAGACTTGAGCGTGGTTTAAACTTACTCAGCCAATCCGTTGATGCATCTCTGTTACCAGGCATATGTCCATATCATAACAACCTGTCATAGTGAGAAGAGCCAGCTCCCTTAGACACCATTCCTACGTCCAAGGAAGGTTCACAGATCACAAAGAACCAGTATAGTCTAGCATTTGGAGACACAAATCCTTATCTCACTTTACCCCCTAAAACAGCTCTTCACATCAATCACAGCTTGCCAGGTGTCACAACCTACATTAGCCCAGTCAAGAATGCATTCTTTCTAAGTTAGTCATCCCATCAATCCAATTATTTAGAAAATAGAACCCAACAATATAGACAGGTTAGCTAACAAAGTCACGAAAACGATGCGCTCGCTTCAATGGAGCAGAAGGCCGTGTGTGGTTGTGATTCTGGATATCCAGATAGCTAGCAAGAATGACCAGAAGCTGCCATGTGGGGAATCGTAAGTGACTCTTTCAGCTAGTTTTTATCTTGTTCTTGATACCATGTCTTGTTTTGAGGTGTTTTGACTGATGTCATGTCTATAATAATGCTAATATAGCAAAATATTCGCTAGCCAACTAACCAACAACTGTAACGATGTATTTGAGAGACAACAGGTGCTCATTGTGCAAATGTATTTATGTTTTCAATAAACATTGGAGACGAAATATAGTTTACATGTTGTCAACAATCTAAGCCAACCCAGTCTGTTTTGCCCCATAGTTTCGCACGCATCGGTTTTGTTGCTAAACAACCAACCTGTCTATGCAGTTGTCTTCACTTACCTCGCTCTGGGGCCTTGCATTTATTTTGAAACCACCATTTCAGACAACTTGAATAAACACAAATAGAGGAATTCTATTGCCTTATCAATGTGACTGAAAGACAACACGGTTTTCCATACTATGTACAGTGCATTTGGAAAGTATTCAGACCCCTTGACTTTTTCCACATTTTGTTACGTTATAGCCTTATTCTGAAATTGATTAAATTGATTTTTTCCCTCATCAATCTACACACAATACCCCATAATGACAAAGCAAAAAATGGTTTTAAGAAAAAAACGGAAATACTTTATTTACATAAGTAAGACCCTTTGCTATGAGACTCAAAATTGAGCTCAGGTGCATCCTGTTTCAATTGATCATCCTTGAGATGTTTCTACAACTTGATTGGAGTCCACCTGTGGTAAATTCAAGTGATTGGACATTATTTGGAAAGGCACACACCTGTCTATATAAAGGTCCCACAGTTGACAGTGCATGTCAGAGCAAAAACCAAGCCATGAGGTTGAAGGAATTGTCCGTAGAGCGCCGAGACAGGATTGTGTCGAGGCACAGATCTGGGGAAGGGTACCAAAACATTTCTGCAGCATTGAAGGTCCCCAAGGACACAGCGGACTCCATCATTCTTAAATGGAAGAAGTTTGGAACCACCAAGT